TTCAAATTCAAAAAAGCCATCATTTTTTAAAACTATTCACTGCGTGGAGCTCCCCATAGGTGCATCTATTCGCATGGACCTGTCCGCCGTGAGACTCTAAGCGCAAGAGCGTTCGAATGTAGGCGGGCTCGAGTTGTGACGGTCGGGTCATGAATCTAACTTCGAACGGATTGGAGCGTGAATGAGTCTCGGTAGTGCGAGCGCGTCTCTGTGCATGAGCCTGGGCCTCCTGGGGCCTCCAGAAACCTCCTGGGCCTCCCTGGGGCCTCCAGGCGCCTCTTGGGGCCTCCTGGGACCTCTTGGGGCTTCGAGTGGCCTCCTGAGGCCTCCTGGAGCCTCGCGTAGCCTCCTGGGACATCCTAGGGAGGATTCGTGCCCCAGGACAAGCCCGATCTATAGGAACAGACGTACATAAAAGATTGCGGATTGGAGCCGCAGGAGAAGGGCAGTCTATAGGAGCACGCGTGAAGCACCAAGGACTCGTGCCCCAGGGGAGGCCCAATTTATAGGAACAGACGTAAAACATTTAGGATTGTAGACAGAGGAGGATGACAATACATATGTATACACACATATATATATATATATATATACATACATATAACAGATAACATACGTATGACATCAAGGATTCGTGCTCCAGGCGAGGCCCAATATATAGGAGCATACGTAAAGCACATGGGATTGGAGCCACTTCTGTTGCCTTCTGAGGCCTCCTGCTCCTGGGGCCTCTCGGGGCCTCATGTTGCCTGGGCCTCCTGGCGCGTCCTGTGGCCTCCTGGGGCCTCCCGTGGCTTCCTGAGGCCTCCTGGAGTTTCCTGGGGCCTCCTGGAGCCTCTTAGGACATCCTGTGGCCTCTTGAGTCCTCCTGCGGCCTCCTGATGCCTCCTGGGACCTCATGTGGCCTCCTGGGGCCTCCTGGAGCCTGCTGGAGCCTCCTGTGGCACCCTGGGGAGAATCTTTGCCCACGAGTCTGGCCACCAATACAAGCAAACCGATCGAGACATCCTCAAAATCTGGCGCCTCTGGGGGGCGGAAATCAGCGCCTCGCTCGAGACATCCTCCAAATCTGCTCCGAAAGCGGAGGATGTTGGGGACCCAAAAAAGCAAACCGCCTGAGACATCCCCACCATTTGGGCGCGAACGGAGGCCGTGAGGTACCCCTGGCGGCCCCCTCCTTGAGGAGGCGCCTCGCACGAGGCATCCACAAAATCTGCTCCGAATACGAAGGATGCTGAGGACTAAAAACCGGCAAACCGCTCGAGACATCCCCGCCATTTTGGCGCGAACGGAGGCCGTGAGATACCCCCTGCCCCCCCCCTTCAGGAGCGCTAAAACCAGCCAGCCGCTCAAGACATCCTCATCATATGCTCATCATCATCATCATCGTCATCATCATCATCATCATCACCACCAGCAGCAGCAGCATCACCATCATCATCAGCATCATCATCATACTCATCCATCACTCACCATCACCATCATACTCACACCATACTCTCACCATACCATGGTCATCACCAGGAGAATCATCATCATTGTCTAGTGCCGAGAGGGAGGAGGTGGTATGGGTGGTCCAGCGCGGTCGGATAAAATCAAGAACCCCGTCCTTTGGATATGGGAAATAAGAAGCTGCATTCCCAACTTACCACTACGTTTTAAGGTGTCGGGCTGCGCGGCCCGCCAACGGGCGGCGAGCCGCGAGACAATAGAAAAAGCATTGGGAGCACAGCGTCTTCCAATAATTCAAATTTGACCTTATTTAACAAAAAGACTATGTAATTCTGTAATTTTCTGAACAAGAAGGATTGGAGAAGCTCTGCTTCATAAGAAAATAATCCTGCTACCCATTACATGGAAAATGACTGAACATTGTGTGTTTCGAAAACGCTGCGGATTCCCATGTGTTTAGATTTGGTAACATCAATAACCATGCGGTGTTTTCAAAACATGTGTACGTTCTGGCCTCCCGACGCTCGTCGGCCAGCCAAAATCTTGAACAACATTGGCAAATCGGAAAGCAGAACGCTTCTATTACAACAAAACTGTCCTGATTTGAACCGGTGGAATGTGTATGGGAAGCGCTGTTCCACATGTTCGGCGCCTGCGAAACACAAGCGTCGCGTGGTCCATGGCGCAAAACGCTGCAACATACAATGGTGTTTTGATGGTCGTTGAGCGTCACTGCGGAAACACAAACAAGTTCTCACAACCACCACATCAAAATAATGAAAAAGCCTTGCGTTTCAACTAGATCCCAAACGGAGAAGCTGGCACACACAGCGTGTGTATCAACTTTTTGACAAACACACGCAGTGAGTGGAATCATATGCTGTTGCAAAATTGTACAGCACAGTGTTACATACAAACTTGTATAACTGGTACCAACTTGACGTGTTTGCAAATCGGCATTGTTGTGTTAAAGGAAAGAGCTGTAAGATCTATGGGAAACAGTAGCGGCCTACGAATGTGCTTACTCACGACAGTGGGAAACACACAAGTTCAGAGAATCTTCTGCTAAAACATGTGAAAAGCACTGCTGATATTCATCTACGGTTGGAAACATTGGCAGCACACCAAGTTGCTATCACGCATATTTCTGCTGAAGGCATTGAATACACAGCAGTTACACCACGACCCTTCTTGGATCCCGTCAATCATAATTGAAAGCATATGGTGCCAGACGTTTTCTGCGCAAGTTTTTCGAGGCACACAATTGATATGTACAGGCGAACATAGATATCCGAACAAGAAGACACCGGAACATACATTAGTTTTATGTGATAAATTTGGAGCCGTCTGGAAAATGAAACTTGGTTGGGCTCGGGATGCGCCCTTTAATCTTGTTGGTGTCGCATCTGGATGCTATTCAAATTCACTGTGAATCCCGTCGATCTGGATGCTGCTTCCCAGAAGAATCTTATGATTATCCGAATGGAATCCTGTAAGAAACCTCTGGATTCAAAGTCCACTCCGTTCTTACTAGGTTTATTTGAACGTTTGATTCAAGTCCACTCGGAATTCTGCGGGTCTGGGCCCCGCTCCCATTTCATTGGAATCCCAGTAGACCCCATTAAGGCCCCATTAAACCAATGAACATCAAATTTGAAATCCAAAGGCCAGATTGTGGATGCGGAAACCACATAATTCTTTCTCGAAGCCAACTAGACTCGCGTAGGAATCCGTTTGATGCGAGATCCAGCTCGTCCCTTGTAGGATCAATGTAGAATTCACTTGCAAGGCAATGGAAAAAGAGAGAGAGAGAGAGAGAGAGAGAAAACCCCCAAAAAAAAAGTATCCTGGCGAAGGTCCCACCCATATGCAGTTATGGGTACCGTAAGTGTGAATATCTGCTTCGGTGAAGCTCCCTTTGGGGCCACGAAGCGCTGCACTGGGCGGGGGGGAACGCTGTACTGTGTGGGTGGTGTGCCGAATTGGGTTTCTCGGACGCATGCGGGCGGTCCCACTGAGGGTTTCTGTGGAGCTCCCTATGGGTCCACGAAACGCTCTACTGAGTGAGCGAAAATACAGAATTGGGCTACGGGAGCGCATGCGGACGGTCCTACTGGGGGCTTCGGGGCCACGAAACGCTGCACTGCGCGGGTGAAAATGCCAAAGTACATTTCCCGGACGCATGCGGACGGTGGCCCTGGGGCCTTGGGTGGAGCCCCCTTATGGGGCCACGAAGCGCTGTACTGGGTGGGTGAACATGCCAAATTGGGCTTCCGGGACGCATGTGAACGGGGGCACTGGGGCCTTCGGTGGAGCTCCATATGGGGCCACGAAACGTTGTACTGGGTGGGTGAAACGCAGGGAGGATGGGGAGGAGGGCAACAAAACGCTGTACCCAGGGTGTGTGGGACGCCTGCGGACGGTAGCGCTGGGACCTTCGGTGGGGCTCCCTATGGGGCCACGAAACGCTGTACTGGGTGTGCGGGGCGCATGCGGACGGTAGCACTGGGACCTTCGGTGGGGCTCCCTATGGGGCCACGAAGCGCTGTACTGGGTGGGTGAAACGCAGGGAGGAGGGGGAGGAGGGCCACGAAACGCTGTACTGGGTGTGCGTGACGCATGCGGACGGTAGCACTGAGACCTTCGGTGGAGCTCCCTATGGGGCCACGAAGCGCTGCACTGGGTGTGTGGGACGCATGCGGACGGTAGCACTGGGACCTTCGGTGGGGCTCCCTATGGAGGCCAACAAGCGCTGTACTGGGCGTGCGGGACGCATGCGGGCGGTAGTGAGGAGGGGGAGGGGCACGAGAGGAGGAGAACGCGGGGACCGTCTCTTCAAAACGAGGACCCAACACCACAGGATGGTTGGGAAAAGAGGGGGAACAAGAGAAAAGAGAGAAACATAGAGAGAGAGAGAAGGAGAGAGAGGTAGGGAAGGCAAAGCAGGAAAACCACACGAGCCAGCTAGACAACGATACCCCACCACCACCCCACACCCCCGGTGCTCGAACCCCTCCCCGCCCTTGCATTTCAGGGCTCCCCTCCTCTCCAGGTTCGACCCCGCCCCCCCCCTCCCCACATAATGCGTTCTTTGTTCGGGGAGACGTAAGACTCGGGTTCGGGGGACTCGGGTGGGCCTGACGGGCCCATCATGAAAATGACGAGACCCAATCTGGGATTTGAAGCGAGCTCCCGCAGTCAACATCCCACGAAAACTGGACCGTCAACATTCAGGACGCGCTCGGCAGACCCGAGCTCTGGCATCCTCGAGTCTTGCGCTTCCCCGATGTTTGATGGTTCCAGGGGAGCCCAGAATCGAATCGATAAGTCGGATCGGCGATCGGAATAAGTCGGATCTGTGGAAATCGGCAGCCGAGTCGGGAAAAGTCGAATCGGCGGAAATCGGCAGGCTAGTATGCGTCCAATGAGAAGCCGGAGCCCAAATCGGAATCCGAAGTCGAATCGAATCGGAATCGGAGTCCATCGACGTCGAATCGAATTGGAGCGGGGAAATCGAAACGAGCCCGGTGGTTCTGACGAGGGTGGACCTTGCCCGCATGATGACAGCTGGCGACCAGTGCAGGCGCCAGCAGCCCGGAGGCACCCGCGGCGGCCAGCGCGAGGGTGAGCCTCGCGCGGAGCCTGCCCGCGAGGGCCCGCGCTGGCGTGGCGGTCGGCTGCGGCGCCGGCAAGCCGAGGACGCCGTCCTCGAGGGTATGCATGGCTTCGACAGGTCGGCGCGGCCGGGGAGAGGTCGGAGAGCCCCCGCCCGCAACGCACCCGCAGTCGAGCTGGAGAATGGCGCGGGCCCCTCGGTTCTCGGCGGCGCCGTCGTCGGAGTCGCCGCGGCCGCCACCAGCCTGCATCACACGCACCAGATCTCCGTGGTAGGAGTGGCAGTCGTCGTCTCTATCATCACCATCGTCATGATCACCACCACCAACGTCACCATCATCATCACCATCGTCATCGTCGTCATCATCATCATCATCATCATCATCATCAGCATCATCATCATCATCATCATCATCATCATCATCATCATCATCATCATCATCATCATCATCATAATCATCATCATCGCCCATCACCACCACCGTCATCATCATCATCATCATCATCATCATCATCATCATCATCATCATCATCATCAGCATCAGCATCATCATCATCAGCATCAGCATCATCCTAATCCTCATCCTCATCCTCTCATCCTCTCATCCTCTCATCCTCTCATCCTCTCATCCTCTCATCCTCTCATCATCATCAGCATCATCATTATCATTATCAACATCATCATCATCATCATCATCATCATCATCATCATCATCAACATCATCAACATCATCTTCTTCGTATTCGCCGTCACCACCACCATTTCATGATCGTCACCGTCATCGACGCCATCACCGTCCTCGTTGACGCCGCACCCTGACATGGGGACTCGGGTTGGCCTGACAGGGCCGTCAGGAAAATGACGAGACCCAATCTGAAGTGTGACGCACGCTCCCGCTGTTAACATCCCACGAACACTGGACCATCAACATCCAGGACGTGCCCGCCAAAAGGCGGCGGCAAACCCCGCGAACTCGGGTCTTGCGTTTCCCCTGAACATGCGGCTCCGCAATTCTGCTGTCTCTGGGCGGAGGGCACCGCTCTCCTCACCCCCTGCTCGCCCCACTCTACGCCGACGCCGCCACGACTGGCGAGGAGGATAGGGAGGATGCGGAGGAAGAGGAGGCGAAAGTGGAAGGAGGGGTCAAAGCGACAGGCGTCCTAGGAGGCCAAGATGGTCAGGCGGAGCAGGAAGAGGGAATCGGGGGGGATGGGAGCGACGAGATTGGTACACTCGCCATATCTGACAACACACCCCTCCCTCCCATCCTTCTCCTCCTCCTCCTCCTCCTCTTCCTCCTCCTCCTCTTACTCCTCCTCCTACTCCTCCTTCTCCTCCTCCTCCTCCTTCTTCTCCTCCTCCTCCTCCTCCTCCTCCTCCGCATCATCACCATCCTCATCCGCATCCTCATCATCCTCATCCTCATCCTCATCCGCATCCTCATCCTCATCCTCATCCTCATCCTCATCCCATCATCATCATCATCATCATCATCATCATCATCATCATCATCATCATCATCATCATCATCATCATCATCATCATCATCATCATCATCATCATCATCATCATCATCATCATCATCATCACATCATCATCATCATCATCATCACATCATCACCACTACCACCATCATCACCACCATCATCATCATCATCATCATCATCACCATCATCATCATCATCATCATCATCATCATCATCATCATCATCATCATCATCATCATCATCATCATCATCATATCATCATCATCATCTACCTCCTCCTCCTCATCCCCCTCCTTCTCCAGCCGCTCGAGAGCAAACTAATCGAGAAGTTCGAGGGCTTGCACAGCCAGGCGCTCGGGCAGATGAGGGAGCAGGTCGCGCTCAACCTGGACGGCGCGCAGAACCAACCTGCACAGTGGCGAACCCGACAACTTCAAGGCTATGCATGCAGGACGACTGAGAAGTTCGAGAGCTGGGGCAACCTGGCGCTCGAGGAGACGACAGAGCAGAGCGTGCTCGACCACAGCGGCGGCCTCGACAGCTGCGAAAACATCAAACGTGCAAGGGCTGGCAGAGGCAGGCGCTCGGGGTGACGCCCGGGAAGAGCGATGTCGACCACGGTGGGGAATTCGACAAGGTCAAGACAGAGCTGAAGGTCGGCGGCGAGCGAGGGGGGGAACTGAGAAGGGGCGGCCCTTCTCAGAAGGCTCGGAAGTCCCCCGGCTTCCTGAGACGTGTTCTAAGCCTTCCCCGACGACGCAACAAACCCTTCTCGGTAAGCGTGGGGGCTTCTGCGAAGCCCCGCCGGTCCTACGGAGCAGGCCCTCTCCTCCTCACTTCCCCCCTCGCTCGCCGCCGAGAAGGATGATGGGCCTGTTTTCCACCACCGCCACCACCACCATAAGTTGGAGGGTGGAAGGAGGTGGAGGACGAGGAGGCGAGCAGGAGGAGCAGGAGGACCCCCTCCCCTTATGGTGGTGGTGGTGGAAAACATGCCCATCAAAGGAGAATGCGCAGGCAAAACGCCTGCGGGGCGCCAGGCGCTCGAGACTTCGCGGCAGGGGCCCACCCCCCTCCTCGTGCCCGGAGCCAGCGGTGGTGCCGTGGCCCGCGGACAAAGGGCAAGCAGAAGCTCACCGCAGAGGCAAACCCAGGAGACGCGGTTCCGCACCTCGGCGACTGGGACCTCTAGAAGAAGAACAATAATAATTGTCAATGTGAATGTTTTCACGCGGGCCGCGCGGCGACCTGTCTGCTGAGTGCAATCCCAGGGCCCTAGGACTAGGGCCAAACGGCGGCGGGCAGGGCGCACGCCGCAAACATGAAACGTATGCACAGAATGTACCATCCATGCATCATGCTTACAATGGCGGCACGGGGCGGCAGAGGGGCAGGGAAGGTGCCCTCTTCACACTGGGTGAGAACAATGCTGCCCCGATGCCGCTTCTTACAATCATGAACCGCGGCACACGGTACCGCCTCTTCCGGCCGACAGGCCGGAGCACCTCAAGCACAAGTGCGGCCTGAGGCTCAAGATATAAAATATGAATGTCCAGACTCACTGTTCCAGACTGTCATCTCGATATACGCGTGCACCTCACCGTAGCCATCACCAGGTCCATGCAGCGGCTGCAAGGACCTCAAGGGCTCGCAGTCCCTGAAACGGCGGCCCGACGCTGGACCTTCCGCTCCTTGGCTCTCTCACGCTGTCCGCGGCGCAGCCGCAGACGGTGTGCCTCCTCATCCTCCTGTTCAGCAGTCGGCACCATGCTGAACACCCCGTGACGGAGAAACAGCAATAGCACCTCGTTAGGCTGCACAGCCTTCGTCAGCACGTCCGCCAGCATATGGCTGTTGGGCAGCCACTTGAACTTGATGGCCTCCTGCTCGATCAAGTCCTTGGCCACCAACAGGTCGATGAGGGTCTGCCGAGACACCGGCATTGAACCGATCTTGCACGTGTGATCGTAGAGCGACTTCGCATCCGTCACAAGCGCCCCCGGGACCTTCAGCACCACCCTCCAGTCCCCTTGCAAGGGCGGCTCCCCGTACAAGACGGCCTCGATAAGCAGCCTGAGGTAGAGCTGCCGATCCAAAGCATCAGACATGGCTGCGGACTCTGCGGCCATCGTGGATCCAACAACTCGTGTATTAGTACTGCTCTGGAACTCCACGAGGCAACACACCGCTAGCTCCTTCAGCACGCGCATGTCCGCAATCATACCCATGAACCCCATCTGGCTCTTACAGCCAGGCTCCTTTGCGAACGAAGCGTCCATGAGCGCGAGCACCTGCAAGTGCTGGATGTCCACACGGCGGATCCGGAGAGTCGCCAGACCTCTCTTGTCGTAGTCCTGAAGTCGGTCGATGATGTCATTGAGCACACGCAGGTGCAATAACCGCCGACCTTTCGGATCCCTCTGTGCGAGCGCCGACGCACTGTAAGCGAACTGCGGCACCACGCGTGCGACAGGCCAGCGCACCTTCTGGAGCAAGCTCCGGAAGTCGTGGTGCTCCTCTGGAGTCATCTCTCGTTCCTCGTCCTGACCCCTTGCAAGGGGGTGCTTTGTCGGCTTGCCGATGTACTCGTGCATGCTGATCTCAATGTGGTCGGGGTGACGCCACCACTCCTCCCCGAGATAGGCGACGGCCTCCTTGTCATTGCCCTCCTTCCAGTGATGGATGTTGAAGCGCTTGTTGATATTCGCCTTCACCTTCTGGTACTGGGGGTCGCGCGGGTTCCCAAACAGCATGCCGTCGTCGACATGCAACGTCAACATCGCAATCAACTTGTCGGTCACCCGGTAAACGAAGACGGCCCGAGCACAGCGCAGCTCCACAAAGCCGACCTCGTCCGTCAGCACCTGGCGGGCTCGGAGATGCCACAACCGAGGCGCCTCCGTCAAACCGTACGCCCCTTTCAGCAAACGAAGCAACGCATAAGGCCGCACAGCTGGCCATCCAGCGCCGTCGACGGCCGGGAGCCCGTCCTTAGGAGCCCTCACGTACAGCTCCCGCTCCAGCTTCAGCCCGGACAGGAACGCAGTCGCTACGTCGAAGCACTCGAATGTCCTATCCATCGCCATTGCGATAGACGCACACACCAGCACGGCCAAAGGGGAGGTGGTAGGCGAATCCGTCCTGAACAGACCAAGCTGCGGGTCTAGATGGCCAGGGATAATCAAACGCGACTTCGCCTCCAACTCTGGTCCTCGCCCCCGATTCGTGCGAGCCGAACGCATGGGCACCGAGATGATTTTGTCCTTCGGAATGCTCCTCTCCTCCTCCTCGGTGACCAGCTCGACCGTGTCGTTGGCGGTCCACTGCCGCCACTCGGCGGCATCGGCCTCGTCGAACTTAGCCTTCTCGTGCTGGTCGAAGTGACGTGGGTCTAGCTCCTTCGCGTTCTGCTTCATCACGAGTGCAAATACGTCGTACTCGTATCGTGCCTCCTGCAGCCATTTGTCGTACACGGACGACACGTTGAGCCAGTCCTCGTAAGTCAGCGGCTGCCGTACAAGACCAACCGGAGTGTCCAGATAGTACACCCCCTGCGCCTGAGCATCCGGCTTGTCGTGGTAGAAGAGCGCGAGGCCAACCCAGCTGTCCTCCATGCGCT